GATCAGAAGGAATGGATGATCTGGGATTTTCTGAGATTTTAGATTTGAAAGGAAAGATGTTTTCAAAGTAGACTGCATCTCTTGCTTCAATGATGGTATTGTTGGATATGTCACTGATTTCAGATTTGATGACTAAAAATCTGTTAACATTGCTATCAAGTGCATATCCAATAAAAGCAGCATCTACAGTCTTAGAACCAATTTTTCTCTTCTTAGGTTCGGGAATAGCTACTTTAGCCAAGCAACCCCAAACCCGGAAGAAATTTAGATTAGGAGATCTCCCCTTCCAATATTCATAAGGAGTTGTATCGGAATATTTCTGGGGAATCCTATTGAGAATGAAGCAAGCAGAAAGAAGAGCTTCACCCCAGAGATTTTCAGGTGCTCCTGAACTGAGTAACATACAGTTCACCATGTCCATTAGGGTTCTATTCTTTCGTTCAGCTACCCCGTTAGACTGTGGTGTATAGGGAGCAGTAACCTCATGAATAATACCGTGTTCTTGGCAATATTCAGTCATATGATTTGAGGTATACTCCCCCCCACGATCAGATCTTAGAATCTTGATCTTCCTGTCAAGTTGGTTCTCAGATTCAGCTTTGAACACCTTAAACCTATCTAAGACTTCATCTTTAGTTTTGAGAAGATAGGTGTAACAATATCTGGAGTGATCGTCTATAAAAGTCACAAAATATCTCCTACCCCCTCGGGTGAGAACTCGGTTAGAGTCACACACATCACTATGAATTAATTCGAGGGGTTCAGAGTTTCTAGTTATAGACTTGAAGGGTTTTTTAGTGTGTTTCCCTTGAACACAGATTTCACATTTAGATGAGGGATCATGAGAAGATTTAGGAATGAGGTTTAATTTACTCATTCTCTGCAAGGTTTGGAAATTGACATGTCCAAGTCGTCCATGCCAAACATCACAAGACTCAACAATTTGAATAACAGAAGACTCAGAAATTTCATTAGAACTAGAATTGATTACATTGAGTTTGAAAAGGCCATTACAGATAAAACCTTTTCCTATGAAAACATTACTCTTTGTAATCACAAATTTGTTGGATTCTTTTACAATCCTATAACCAGCTCTAAGAAGAAGAGATTCACTAATCAGATTGCGACGGAGAGAAGGAACATGATAAACGCCTTGCAGATGAAGAACTTTCCCAGAAGTCATGGTGAGCTCTATACGTCCACTTCCTATTATTGATTTAGTGGAGTCATCTGCTAAGCTTATGCTTCCTCCACGTGATTCCTGATAATTTGAAAACCAAGAGCGGTCATTACAGACGTGGATATTTGCTTCGGAATCCAAATACCAATCAGTGGAAGAAGTTAGAGAATTTACAAGATGGGATGAAGAGGCTAACCTGAAGGAGGTTGGATTCATTTCAATCATATTAACTTTGTTGGATCCATTTCCTTTAGGGGCAGGTTTGGCCGGTTCCTTCTTCCGAAAGAAACAGTTGTGAGCCATGAAGGTAGATTTGTTGAAAGATTTGTTGAAAGATTGTTGGTTTTTCTTGAATTTCTTCCCTTTGGGTTTGAAATTCTTAGATTTAGGCTTATCCTCCACCAAGTTTACTTTAGCTTTTGTTTCATTCTTGGTATTGGAGTTTTGCCTATGCTATTTGAAGGAGGATTTGTTGAAAGATTTGTTGAAAGATTGTTGATTTTTCTTGAATTTCTTCCCTTTGGGTTTGAAATTCTTAGATTTAGGCTTATCCTCTACCAAGTTTACTTTAGCTTTTGTTTCATTCTTGGTATTGGAGTTTTGCCTATGCTGGTCTTCAGTACGAATAGCCTTGAGGGCTTCAGTTAAAGTTAGATATCCTTGCTTGTGTCGGAGATCTCCAGCAAATCTAGACCAGGAGGGAGGAAGTTTATCAATCAAACAGGAAACTTTATAATCGTCAGTAAAAGTGTTTCCTTTTGATTGGAGATGACGGAGGAAATCTAGGAATTCATGAATTTGATCATTAATGGGCTTGTCATCAACCATTGTGAACTTATTGAAAGAGGAAGAGGTGAAGCGCAGAATTCCGGCATCATCATAGTCATATTCTGCTTCAAGAGCATTCCATAGGTCTTTTGCACTTTTGAACTCATAATATATGTCATAAAGGTTGTCCGCAAGTGCACTAAGGATCCTATGACAACAATGATAGTTGATTTCTTCTGGTTTCATAGAGCTAGAAAAAGAGCTAGCACCAGAACCAGAAGTGGAAGGAGCAGGTTGAGCAGGATCAGGAGTCAAAGGTTGAGAACCACTAGTAGATGACTCAGAAGTGTCAATAGCAGATAAAAGACCTAAGGTAGTGAGCCAGTATTTCATCTGATTAGCCCACCGTTTATAGTTAACACCGGTGAACTTCTCAGGTTTGACACTTTTTGAATGATCAGGAATTGCCATAAGTCCAATTTAAGTTTACTAGTCTAGGTAGATGTAATCTGATATAAAAAAGGATTTTGTCAATATTACTAGACCAGAAACTTAATTAAACCTGCTCTTAACCAAAAACTCTAAAAGTGAAAAGATAAAACTTTTACTCGGGTAGTTTGGCCAGGTAAGGATAGTACTAGAGGTTGATCAATGATCGATTAAGTACCTCGTTTCTTGCAGAGCGCTTTACGCAACCCTTAAACCTTTCCTTAGACACCAACTAATCCAAGAAAACTTGAACCGGTTCACTTAAAGATTTTTTGTTTATGACAGATACTGAATTTGAGCACAGAAGCAGCAAAGAAATAATATTTTTTTTAACTAATTTAGATGCAACAAGTTAAAACAATTAACTAATACAACAAGTAATTAAAATACATGAAATTCGGGTGAACAGTAATCCCGATGAACAGTAATTTTTTTTATTTTTTTATTTTTTATTTTACTAATTAACTTAACAGCAAGAATTATTTATTAATCTTCTAGATTGCTGTCAAAACAGGAATATAATAATATAAACAAATTAAGGAGTTAGAAAATTCAGGCCTGATTTGGAGCAGTCGTGATATCACTGCCTTAGAAGATTAAGGACCCGCCTATCGCCCTGGCGCAATTTGTCATCTCTCCCCTAGCGGTAAAAACCCCCGGAATCGGCCGGCCTCTGCACTCGAGCGTGAGTCACAGAGCTTATGCTCAGACGAAAACAGTTGCCCAGAAAATAGATATATAAATATGTAGCCGAAATCTCTTGGAGGTATGAAAGTAGAGAAGAGAAGAGAGTTTAGAAGATTTACTCTTCGTTGGTGTGATTCTGAATGAGCTCCAAGCCTCCTTTTATAGGTGATGAAAGGTGTAACCCCCGCTGAATCCAATGGACCGTTACACACGATTATTGCTTCCGTTACCCGCATGCAGCCGTTGCAAAATGTGTAAAACGTGCAAAAATGAAGGCTTGAGAAGCAAAAAGGTGTGCGTGTGCGGCTGAGGCGCGGCGTGCGCGCGCGCACTCGTGTGTGGTAGAAACGCAAAGCCCACAAAACCCAAAACACTATTCAAAGCCCAATAAGGAGAGAACCATTATATACCCTTTACTATTCATCTCATTTTCCGATGTGGGACTATTCACAAAGGCAAAATTGCCTTTTCATGAACAAAGCTTCCAACACGTTACTCGGTTGTTCACTCAAGCTGTTTCAGCTCAAGTACGGGACCTTGTTAGATAGTAAACATGAAGGCAAGGACTGACATGTTATTAACTTACTCTCAAATCTATTACAGCATGCTAAGGCAAGGCATCTTCATCGAGTAGCGATAAGTATACTACTCCTCTTCGACTACTTTGACACTATCATTCGTAGAAGAGTGTGATCATGATGAATCATTACTACAATTTTTAAGTAGTGACTCATCATGACCCCACCCTTTCGTGAACGACTATGCGAAAATAGTAGAAGAGGAGTAGTACACCTAAACTTTTTCATCTTGAACTGTCTAACAGTCAAAAAAATAATAAAATAAAACAACAACAATAATAGTAATTCTAAAAGCGGGAAGAAAGATACAAAGCTGTGGTTGTCGCTTCCTTTGGTAAATTGTTTCAAAAGAAAAACAAAGTGGCCCAAGTGGCCCGGATGCCTGATGCTCTGGACGATGGAGAAAATCTATGGATGATGAGTCCGTGAACTGGCAGAAGGAGATCTATTTTGTTCTGAGTAGTGACAGTGTGGGGTCTATCAATTTCAACCTTTCAGCAAATTGTTTTGACTTATCAAAAGGGTTTTACAGTTTTTTTTTTGGGAAAAATGTGTTCAGGCCCCAAAAACAGAAACTTCATGTGCTGCAGCCCTTCCTAGTTTCCCCCATGTAGTCAGCCCCTTGAAGTGTGACATTTTGTGCTGCAACCCCTTTTTAACAATTATTACATGCCAACTAAGCTAAAATTCCCAAAATAACCTAATCCCCTCTTCTCAATCCTTCAAACCCAGTTCCCTCTCTCTCTCTCTCTCTCTCTCTCTCTCTCTCTCTTTAAAAACAAGGGCTTTCTCAAGCTCGTCGCTCTGGCCCTCGCCCTCCTCACCGTCGCCACCTCCGCCCAGGCTCCCAAGCCTCCCCCGAGTTCGCCGCCGCCTCCCCTCCTCTCCTCCGCCCGACCTCGTCGCGGTAGCTCGTCGTCGCTCCCCTTCTCGCCCTCGACTACGCCTTGATTGAGAGCTCTTGCTATTGGGCCTAGCTGCATTAACAGAGGCAACAACATGTAGTGATGATGGGCAACCTGAAGAAAAATGAAGAAAATGGCAAAGAAGTAGATCATTAGACTCTACAGAACAAAACCCATTACAGAAAACTTTGCCTGGATTGAAAGTGTACCTTCAGTATTGGCTGCAACTGTGTCCAAAAATCCTCTTTTAGTGGGTTTAGAGGCTTTAGGAAAATAACCCAGAGAGAGGACTGAAGGATCTTCTTCATCAATCCAATTTCTCTCTTTTGACGCCATCAGATTAAGTAGCTTTGGACAAACTTCACTTTTCTTTCTAAACTCTTCTCCCATTTTTTACTCAGACTGGAAAAACAGAGCCCGATAGGAGGAACTAGAAGAAAGAAAAAATGTCAAAAAAAAAGTTAGTTCTAACACGCGGGTACAATGTTAGTTCTAACACGCTACAGTGTTAGTTCTAACACGCTACAGTGTTAGTTCTAACACTGTAGCGTGTTAGAACTAACACTGTAGCTGCTTGTTAGAACTAACACTGTAGCTTGTTAGAACTAACATTGTAGCGTGTTAGAACTAACACTGTAACCGCGTGTTAGAACTAACACTGTAGCCGCGTGTTAGAACTAACACTGTAGCTTGTTAGAACTAACATTGTAGCATGTTAGAACTAACACTGTAGCCGCGTGTTAGAACTAACACCGTTCTCATCCAATAGGGCCCTATTCTTAACTGCTGGCCTAAAAAGGATCTATGATCATGGGGAAAAGGGGGGGTTTGATTGGAAGAGATTCTTTTTTGAATAACTTAACCCCCTTTGGATTTTGATTATTTCTATATTAATTTATTTAGGTAATATCATGGAAAATCTGCATTATATTGGTAATAATAAGAAGCTTCCTAATACTATGCTTTGAATGAATTGTGTGGCTTTTCTGTTCCTGTTCTTCTACCGGATTATTTATGATAAACTCTGTACGAGGCGAGTCCTTAATAAAATTGCAATAGAGGTTAACATAATCTCTTCTTACGTGGGTCAGGGTCCCTGTGCTGTCAGGATCTTCTCCATTGAAGATCATTATACTGATCTTTAAGTACATATATAGTCATCTTATTTCTGATGATTTTTGCATGCCTTGGTGTATATAACAGTTTCTCTTTTGGCAGATTAAACCGTTTTCATCTTTCTTATTGCAGTAATCATAAATTGTTTCTGCATTGAAGTTTTTAGTTTTACAATCATTTTTGAATAATCAACCACGGATGATTGTCAATTAAGATTAAAAGGAACAAAAATCATAAAATGTTCTATTGTTACTGCGCCTGCCTTTTTTAAACGCTACAGTGTTAGTTCTAACAAGTTAGTTCTAACACGCGGCTACAGTGTTAGTTCCAACAAGTTAGTTCTAACACGCGGCTACAGTGTTAGTTCTAACACGCTACAATGTTAGTTCTAACAAGCTACAGTGTTAGTTCTAACACGCTACAGTGTTAGTTCTAACACGCGGCTACAGTGTTAGTTCTAACACGCTACAATGTTAGTTCTAACAAGCTACAGTGTTAGTTCTAACACGCTACAGTGTTAGTTCTAACACGCGGCTACAGTGTTAGTTCTAACACGCTACAACAGTGTTAGTTCTAACACGCTACAATGTTAGTTCTAACAAGCTACAGTGTTAGTTCTAACACGCGGCTACAGTATTAGTTCTAACAAGTTAGTTCTAACACGCGGCTACAGTGTTAGTTCTAACACGCTACAGTGTTAGTTCTAACTGTAGGTGTAAATTTTGATCTCCCAAAAATAGGGAACTTCGTTTGTATTGATAAT